GGCAGGTTTCTCTCGCGAGTTCATGAGACGTTGTTTACTTGAAATATTCAGTCGAAATATTCACGCGCGAAGCGCGTATTTTATTAGCTCCGTTCGCCATTTCGGGCCCCGATGATTGACTCATTCGCGCGATATCGCGTCTCAAAACAACACGTATTAAGATAAAATATGTCGTTAGAAAGATATACCGCACGTGCGTGATTTGGTGCGCTAAAGTGGAAGCTAAGGCGACGAGAAGTCGCAGTTAACAACGTTCGAGCAACGATCACCAGCGGCGTCGAAAGGTCAACCGCTGATCGTCCTCGGCGAGAGTGTCTCTTATTTTTCTGTCGACCGTTGATCTTTCGCTGGCCGACGGCGCGGGTTCGTCCCGGCTCCTTTCGCGCATTCCACCTCGTGCCTCGTGGACACGCAGAATATAGCCGTCGCTACGACGACGAAGGTCGATCGTCATCGCGAACGACTGCGAAGGTCGGCCTGTGCCGGCATTAAAATCGCTCGCCGGCGCTTCTCGGCCGGCCGGAGCTTGTAAGTTCGCTTTCACTTCGGAAGCCGCGATGACGCACGATGCGGCGACCCGCCGGGACCGCAGCCTCAGGTGTCGCGGGTGTTTTTCCGCTTCGAACCGGTCACCACCACGTCGGAGATCTGATCACCACCCGTGCTGATCAGATCTTTCATTCGGGAAGGAATCCGACCAAATTGATTATCCTTCCAAGAAGCAATTCGCGCTTGAATTTTTCCCGATTCCAACGAATTCAACGCGCGGATCGCCCATTTTTGTGATATTGCTTGACGATTTATATTAAACAATAAAGAAAAGGAGACTCCGAAGATCGCGAATTGGAGACTAGAATTCGGCGAGTCGATTGTCAATTTCGGCCTTGCTCGCTCGGTCTTGATTTCTCCAAATCTTCAATCCTTGATCCTTGAATCCTCTAATTTCCAATTTGCAATCTTCAACATTCAGTCCTACTGCATCATGAATACTTACACGAAGAAAATATCGTAATAAAAATTGCAGCAAAATTCTTGTTTTCTTTATTGTTTAATATAAATCAACCTGAGAGGAACAATGGTTGATCCAACTAAAATTATAGTTATTTTCGGCTCAGTCGTCAAGTCGCACGATCATATCTGGAAATTACTGCTTATTGTTTATAACTTTCTGCACGGATAGTCACGAGTTTCGTGAGGGTAGAAGACTCGCGCGCGTCCAAAGCACTCACCATTATCGCTCGCCACGCCCGGCTTTTCCGCGGCCCCGAAATGAAAATTGCGATCCGTGGTCAGGTCGGTCAGGAGCGTTACGACCTCTCTGACGGCTTTTGCAATCGAATTGCTACATGCACTCGCTCCTTCTTTGCGGCGGCTTGCAGCAAAGTGGAGTGGTGCATTACCGAGGTGCTCCGGCCTGGAATAACCGGCGTGCTCGCCAGTCCCCTCCTCGCCCACATCGGCGAGGAAGCCGGGTGCTCGTTTTCCCAGATAGAGGCATTCGATATATCGGATCCCGCCCTCGAATGATCTTTCTCTCTCTCTCTCTCTCTCTCTCTCTCGGAGAGCTCGCGTTCGCTCATGCCTCGAGATACGTTTCCGATCGCGCGTAGATCCATGAGAGAGGAGAGGTTGCAACGCGAGAGCAATGTGCCCTGCTTAATCTACTATCGCACGAGAGGAGTAAGAGGCACTCCGCATTTTTCCCAGCGCCTTCTACCGCGGAGAGAATATTGTAGCAAAAATTACAGTACGACTTTAGGAATAGACTGGTACTATCATGAAAATTATAATAAAAATAGTAAGATTTCAGTAGGAAATTACTAATAGAAAATTATAATAAAAATGATCATAAACATGATAATTTTTACTATGTTCACTTTTACTATGTCTTATAATTTTCATTATAGTGCCAGTCTGTTCCTGGAGTACTAAAATTGTATTGTAATTTTTACTACAATATTCCCTTCGTGCAGGATGCCTTCCGCGCAGAATTGTTACCAAGCTCGTGTCAGAGTATTGTGGGTATTAGGAGACCCCGAAGATCGCGAATTGGAGACTAGAATTCGGCGAGTCAATTGTCAATTTCGGCCTTGCTCGCTCGGTCTTGATTTCTCCAAATCTTCAGTCCTTGATCCTTGAATCCTCTAATCTCCAATTTGCAATCTTCAATATTCAATCCTACTGCATCATGAATACCTACACGAAGAAAATATCGTAATAAAAATTGCAGCAAGATTCTTGCAATATAGGACCGTATAGAATTATGATTGAAATAACTACGTAGAAAATGTTACACACGTTTCATCTCTTGCTGAAAAATTATTATAGTTACTTGAATGCTTTTATATTATATATCAGATAGATCGTGAAGTTTACTATTTCTATAGTGTTTCGTACTATAATTTCAGTAACATAACTCAGGTTTACAAATAAGCACTGTCAGAAGAAATTTAATTTTAGCGTAATTTTCACTACAATGCTTTCCCCGTGTAGTCTGATACGAGCTTCGCGTAAATTGAGAGCGGTCGCGATTTTTCGTTACTTCTTTTTGCTCCTATCCTTATTCCTTGATCCGTGAAACAGTTATATCGAAGACTCCACACGCGCGATCGCTTGAGACGCGAGGATCTTATCGATTCTATTGCGCGCCTTCATCCGTATCGCTCGCGTGCGATTGAACGCATCGTCAATTATATGGAGCAGCAAAGGCGAAGCTGCGACGATAACTATTTGTATGCGACGCGTGTAGCCGCGAAGTAGTATCGAGAAACGAAATTGCGCTACAAGTCCGATCCTACTTTCACTACTTGAGATTTTATTGGAAATTAATTCAAGCGACCGGTACTAACTATGCCGCGTGTCGCTCTCCACATCGTTGCACAAAACCCGACAGAAGTGTCCTGGGGCGGACCCGGGCCCCGGTTGGGCACCATGTAATAAGTGCCGCGCGTGCTGCACTTAGCCGCGCGTATGTTACACGCGTATGCATTGAGAAAAATCGCGAACCGGAATGAGACGGAAGATTGACGCAGTCAGTCGTCTAAAAACAGGAGAGCATAGTTGGAACAAATCGAAAGCCCATCCTGGAAGGGCAGTCTCCTTCCCTCGTTTATCCTTCTCTTGCATTCGCTCGCTCACCTTCGTGCTCACTAACGCCGTCGACTCGTCGAAAACATGACTAGCCCGGGCTGTAAAAGCAAGAAATAAAAAAAGGGAGATGTAGAAAGAGAGGGAGCGAGAGACAGAAAGGGAGAAAAAAAGAAGAGCGAGTGCCTACGCCCACGGACGTGCCCATAAATTCGCACCTCTCTCGCAAACGGACTCAAGGATCCCTTTTCTACTACCGCTTACGGTCGCTACGCCCGTAATCGCGTTTGATACCGCGGGGCGAATATGCAAGTCAAATGTTTCCCGCGCGCGCGCGCGCGCGTTACTCAACGCGAATATCAGATCTTTCCCTTGGAATCCGATCTCCGAGCCGACGCGCGACTTTTACCTCCTCCTCCTCCTCCTCCTCCTCACCGTCGTCTCACCTGTGCACCTCGGCGCGAGTCACGCCAAAACGACGTTGCGTAGCGTTGCGTTGCATTGCGCGGAATCATGTGGAGCAGGTTGACCGCAATCGACCGCGGTTTCTTATTAAGATTGATGCAATTTCAATCGTTACCCGTCGAGCTCTCGGTCTCGCGCGCGCTCCCTTACGCTCTCGCGAGCCGTAACTCGCGGTTGATCGAAGATCGGCGTTTCCTCGCGAACGGGGGAAACGAGGTGTCTTTCTTTCTTCGACTTCTCCTCGCGCCTTCGAGAGTCCTTGAGAGACTTCTCACACGGCAGAGAGATCTGAGAAGTGTCGCCACGCTGGTGTCAATTCGAATTTGCTCGCGTGACGACTCAACAGGGATTCGTACGCGGCAAAGATGCGCTTCCGCGCGGCGTTCCTCGAGGGAAGACCAGTCGACGTTGACTTTCCAGGCCTGGATGTGCGGTCGCGATTACTTGAAACTTTAGCGAAACACGGCGAGCCCGCGCCGCCGCTTGTAGAAATCTCAGGGAGTTTTGAAACAAACGTCGCTCCCGCGGACCGCGAAATTATTCAGCGCCGAGAGAGAATCTTCAAATGGCCGAGCGGCGCAAGCTTCGCCGTGCGCCGCGCGTTTGATACGCAGATAATACATCTCGCAGGAAAGTCCTTCCCGCCCAAAGCGCAGTCCTTGTGTTACTTTACTTTTTCCGCCGGCTGTCCGCACGCAGCGCGTCTTTCGCGACTCCTCGCTCGTTGTTCGATTGTCCGCTGCGACATGTTGCGAGTTTCGCGCCAAGTCGACGAACTCTCCCCTTCCGCGAGATACGGAAAATATAATTAGAACGTATTTATGGTCTTATAATAACAGGAAATGTAGAATGATAAATGTCCTTCTCCGTGTAAAAAGGAGCTCTTTTTCTTGAATTAAAGAACAATTGCAAGGAAGTCCGATGTTGATTCGCGCTGTTGACTCCGCTAAGATAATAGATTTGAAAGTGGAGATCACGCGCGCGCGCTCTTTCCAGCGCGGGAATCGAATCCAAAACCGCGCGATCATTACGTTCCCCGATTGCTGCCGTTAATGAGAAATGCTAGTCGTCAAAGGTATCGCGATGTAATGACCTATCACACCGATGTGCAAGATTGTTCTCCACGACTCGCATCTTCACTCGCTTCGGTGCCAATTAAGTCGGGTTTGAATTACTCGGCGGGAAATGACCGTCATTAACTCCCTCAGAACGAACTCGTCCTCAGGCACGTGAAATTAGAAGAGAAATTGCAAAAGAAATTTAGAAGTTATGACAATTGGAAGTGAAATTTCTATTGAACGCAAAAAAATTGGAAAATTAAAAATGAACAATCTTGTCGTGTGTTTCAGACCGAGATCTCCGAGAGTTGATTTTGACGGAGCTACGACGTGCCGAGGGAGTCGCACAATATAATCCGAGTCATCACTCGAGAGTGAGATTGCTCTTACCCAATCCATGACTGCCGCTTTTTGATCGAATCCGCCAGTAATTTAATCTCGCCTGTGTTGGGGATGTCGCTCCTCAACTCGCGGTCATTGCGCGTCAGCTGCGCGTGTGTCTCGCCTTGCGCGATCCGGAGGAGGCTCTCGCACAGGCCCACGTCGGCGAAACGCGAATCGCCGTTTGCACTCGCGACCTTGTGTCTGTACGACGACACTGAAAAGACGACGCGACGGTTGCGGTGGCTGAGAGGTGTGCGAGAAAGTGGGAGAGAGAGGGAGGAGAGATAGAGAGAGTGAGAAAGAGAAAGAGAAAGAAAGGGAAAAAGAAGCCGTACCGAAGAAGAGCACCACCGTTCTCTAAGACGAAGAGCGCACGACTGGCTCGGATCGCGGCTGAAGCTGAAGGTGGTGGACGGGCGCGCGAAGGCACTGTTACTTTCATGGGTCGTCTCCACCACCGTGGGGGCCACCTTCGTGGGACACGCCGGCAGCGCGGGCCCCACCAACCGGAACCGTCGGGCGCGTTTCCAGTCCTTCGCGACGCGAGCCACGCCGCGCGAAATCCCCGGCGCGCGGCGAAGGTGAAAGGAAGACATTTCTTCCAGCCGTCTTTCTCGCCTCTTCAACGCCGGCTACCGCCCGGCTCGTCGGCGCCGGCACGCACTCGCATCGGGCGATATAAGTAGTACGGGCGTGTCGCCTACATCACGCGTCCGTGTATTTACACTGTACAATTTCTGTCGCATTACAAATGTATTTGTATATAGTTCTCCGTTAAACTCCATTCTCAACATCAAATTTATATACATATATTACATACTATTTTAAAAGACTATATCCTTGAACGTTGAAATGACTCTCCGATGTCACATCACATGTCGCGTCACATCGATCGTTGTTTGGAAAAGTGAGAACAGACGCGACGTGGACGTGATACGAAGGTCAATATCACGCGCGACAGAAATTCCTGGGACTTTCGATCGGCTGACTTGAATCGCCGTCTACGTGAAAAGAAATGAAAATCGGCGCGTGCTCGGATTGTAAGGTGTCGTCGACTCGAGAATGATTGTCCGATGATGTCTCTGACATTCGTATGCGTCGAGAAATGCTTCTGTATTCCCCGATGCGTGATCGAATTGCAAAGGAAATTGCTTGGCATTCCTCATGCTTCACGCATCTTCTTCCAAGCCGACGCTTTCAGGATCCAATGTAGACTTCTTAAATCTCTTCGCTGAATTCTCTGAAAAGCGATAGAAACCCTCGTAACTTGCTGTTGCGTTAATCGACGCAAATCCACTTACTATTAATTGTTAAGGTGTATTAGATGCAAGGGACTGATTACCTTGAAAGAAACGTTTCGCAGTACGTTTTCTGATTTCTTCAATGTCCTCCTCTGCCTGGGCCCACTCGAGCACCAATCGTCGGCCGTACAAGTGAGTGCTCTGACACAGACTTGTAAACGCTCTCTACAAAAAATAAAAGTTAATATTAGCACCAGAAAAATCATGTGCGATTCTTGCTTTTAGGTAAACGATTAATTTTTCTAGGTAAGTTTTTTTATTCAAATCATCACAGAATTGTTTGAGTCATTTGATCTTTTTGGTCTAAACTAAATATAGACACCGAGAGTGCTTACTTTTGCGTCTTCCTTCGTGTAATATTCGATGAAGGCGAAGCCTCTGTGCTTCTTGACGCCGATCAACTTTTTCGGTAATCGTGCGGCCTTCAACTGACCAAACGCTCTGTAACAAGATCGTTAAGTTATACCGTTATACGTCACTGACATAAAATACGACAACGACGAGACGCGCGCGATGTGCATACTTGAATAGTTCCGTTATTTCCTGAATGGTTGCCTGGAAGGGTACGTTTCGCACCAGGATCTTGGTTCCGGTCTGCTCGGTGATCTTAGATTTCTTTCTCGCCGTTTTGACATCGGACCTGGAAAGTTTCACAGTTACATCGAGATATTCTCTGCTTTCTAATGAGATGAGACTGAAGTGACGTACGTCAATATTCTCTCGGATCGCTTTAACTCCAGCGACTTGCCGTCGAGTACTGTCATCTGCAGCGTCTTCAATGCACGATCCGCGTCGTGCTTTCTCTTATATCGCACAAATCCGTATCCCATAGGTAAGTTGTTACTCGGATTCTTCGGATCCTTCTTAGTAGCAATCGTGACATAATGGAGGCGACCGCATTTAGCGAAGTACTGAAAGTGGAGAGACGCATTAATAACGCGTTTCAAATCTGTCAAAGATGACAGCCGCCGCATTATGATGCAGCACGAACGTGATAATTTCTAATCACTCACACTCTTCAACTGTTCAGTCGTGGTGGAGAAGTTGATATTCTTCACAAAAAGCGTGGTATCCGGCTCGGGCTCCTCGTCGTCCTCGTCCGCAGCGGCTTTCTTATTTGAATTATTTACGTTTTCTCTCGACTTTTGCGTTGCCGCTTCTTCTTTAGTTTCTTCCGAGACACTTGATCCCGTCACTTTGCCTTTGGACGCGTTACGTTTGGATGCGGGCGCGGTAAAACTGTTATCTGGCGCCCATTCCAGATATAACGGCAAATATTTGTACTTCGTGTAAGCTAATCTCGTGAAAGCCTTACGTGCCTCGGATGGCTCCAGAAATTCTACCAGTGCTGTGAGAGCCGTGAATTAAATGTTAGAAACATTCCTAGCGCTTAACGTTCGCTACAACGACAATAGCAATACCTGTTATGCCTGACGGTGGCAATACAACGCGCCCAAGTTCCCCGTGCTTGGCGAACATCTCTCGGATGTCGTCTGACTTTGTTTGAGCTGGTAAATTCTTCACCAAGATTGTAGTACGCGATCTTTGCTGCGGCGCCTGTCGAGGTACATCAAATATAATCATAAGAGTGAACAATATGTTATTTCTCCGAAGAAACATGTGAAGGATATGTGAAAACTTACTTGGTTAAAAGCATCTAAGCACACGCCGTTTTCCTCCAGGAAGGCTTTCGTGTCATGAATTATTTGCGTTTCTCCTAGAGCCAATTTCACTGCAGCGCTCATCCCTTTTGTTTCATCTTCCAATACCTTTATTTCGAATTAAAATTCATGATTACTATATCATTTAACGTGCAGACGAGCCATGTATTATTGTAAACTTGAAGAATAAACACTCGAGATATAATATGCAAATTTATATAATTTTACATATAAATTATATATTACTTTCTCCTTTGTGATATTGTAGGTATCCGCAATAGTGTTCACTACGGCGTTTTGTTCTAGGAAAAGTGTGTTCCAATTATGCGACGAATTCGCGGTCGCTTTAATCTGCAACTCCTTTTTTTGTTTGTAAGTTAAATTTTCTGTAATCAATAAAATACATTTTTAATTTATTTGGAACATATATAAGAGAGATGATGAGATTGTTATTACAGTGTACGGAAAATAGTACCTAAATCAATGTCTTCCAACGATGTTTTCGCCATCCCGGGAAGAAGATGCAACATTCTACCGTCTAATACAGAGCCATCCAATTCAGTGTACGCTTTTATAGCATGTTCCGGCATGAGAAAAGTTACTATACCAAATCCTTTTGGCTTTCTAGTGACTTTGTCTACAGGTAAGTTCACTTCACTCAAAGGACCTGATTTTTCAAAGCCAACAATTGATTAAAAGGAGATTTGCAATAAACAAGATTATAAAGTAGTTAGACACAGAGTTTAAGTCTTCATTAAAAGGAAATTTCTGCCAACTTTTACGATACATCAGCGCAATAATATTCTTACCATATTTTTCAAACAGTTTTCTCACGTCATCTTCTGTAGTTGTATAAGTTAGATTTCTGAGAAATATCCTCCCGGATTCTGCTATACTCTCTTCATTCTTTAACGCCTCTTCTTGTTTTTTCCACTTAATATTAATCTTATCCGAATTTTCACTAAATTCTTCTTTTTTCTCATACTTGGACACAAATATTTGTTTGCCATCTGCATAAGTAACACAATCAATAACATTGGTAAAATATTATTTATACTCATCATTCAACTACTTTATTTCTTACCTAAAAAACTTTTGTTCTTCAAAAGAGCCTTCTTCATTTGTGACTCTGTTTTGAATCCCAAATAGACTATACCTTTAACTTTACGTGGAATTCGTATGGATTTCGGTTTCAAGGGGCGAAAGAATAGTTTAACATCCCTTTTCTTATGTTTATATCCAAGTCCAGACATTTTTACAGTAAATAATTTTAATGAACCATGATTTGATGCATTTTGCACTAGTAATTTCTCCTCACACTTTACATTCTGTTTTTTCTTTAATGCTTCCATATACTGTAATTTTAATAAAAGTTTCAATAACAGTTAATGTGATTCATAATGCATTATTTCATAATGCTAATTATATTTCATAATGTTAATTGTTATACCTCCAAATCTGACATAATTTTATCTGCAATCTTCCCATTTTCTTTCTTTTCTTCTTCTTTTCCTTCCTTATTTTCACTCTCTACTGTGTCTTCTTTATTCTTAGAATTATCATCATCATCATTATCATCATCATCATCATCATTATCATCATCATCATCATCATTATCACTAGATTTCCCAGTGGCTTCTGCAGACACATCAATATCATTCCTCCATATCGCTTTTATTTTGTTGCCACCATGTGTTTCAAGGAATTCCATGAATAAAGGATCATCCTTGTGCTAAATTTATAATTATGTAAAGAGATAAATAAAAAATTCTTTCTTAAATAAAATACAAATTATCTAAATTGTTAAAGGAAAAAAATATAGATTATTTCTACCTTCTCAAGTGCTTTTCTGACTTCTTCATTATCCTTTTTCTCTGCCTTTTTCTTTTCTTTTTTTTCACTAGTTTCGCCAGATTTTATATTAGGATGTTCTGAAGAATTTGTTAAGGCTTTCTTTGATTTATCATTGAATGTCTTAGTATCTTTGTTATGTAAATTATCAGTTGCATATTTGCTCCATGCTCTCGGTTTAGAGGAATCACCTGCAATATTATATATGTATTAGTATAATAAAAAGATACTGACTTACTATAATAATATAATTAGATATTGTTCATATACTGTACCTAAACTTGTGCATTGTTCAACAGATATCCTGCAAGTATCAATACAAGATTGATTAAAATAGGATTGCGCTAAATGTGCTTGCTCTTCTGTCTTGTAACCAACAAATGCAAATCTACGAAACTTTCCATCTTTTGTATACTTCAGCTGAACATCGGTCACAATACCTTTTTCACTGAATAACTCCTTCACTTTAGTATCTGTGATCTACATGCAAGAAATAAAAAATTATTGAGTAAAAAGTGAAAGGAGAGAAAATAACAAATATAATAACATACATACACTTTTAGGTAAATTTTTCACTATTAAACGGGACATATTACTTCGTCGATAGCTATTTCTGCCTAGAACTTAATAATTCTCTTATTTATAATAAATAATAAAATAAAATTGATGTACCAGAACACATGTGATTCGAGAGTATGCACTATATTTGGGTTAGGTTAGGTTAGTTTAGATCAATTAAACGATTTGCCTGATTCGTCGTTGAGTTGCACTATTCGAAAAATAAGGTCCGTCTGATTTGTTATTGAGTCGACCTCAATTTTTCGGTAGGTATGGTGGCGATTCGTAGCGGAGACTTTGAAACTAATCTCGGAAAGTAACAGGTCTAATAATTTATGGCCAAGGGCCCCTATTCTTGAAATAGTTGTGTATACGTAAGTTTTACTACGCAGGTTTCATACCATAAAATAGTTGCGCAATGAAAATTACATATACGCAAAAATTTCAAAAATAGGGGCCCTGAAGACCTTTTATTTTTGCGACATGTGATAATGACTCCTGCATACAGGACGCGGTAATGCTTGCCGCGCGGCAAAAGTTCACGCGACAGCCAATCAATATGCTGCTTTCCGTAATAACCTTTTAGCTCTTATGGAAAAACAACATATTGATTGGCTGTCGCGCGAACTTCCGCCGCGCGGCAAGCATTACCGCGTCCTGTGTGCAGGAGCCATACCAATAAATATACAGCTCTTCCGGAAAAGCAGTACGTTCAATGGATATCTTGGCTATGAGAACTATTATTGGTAGCAAAAATAAGGAATCTAATTCAAGGGCGTAAAATTATTAATCTCGTTATTTTCCGAAATTAGTTGCAGTCTCCGCTACGAGTCGCCACCGTACTTACAATGAAATTGTTCGTGATACAACTCAACGACAAATTGGGCGGACTTTATTTTTCGAGTAATGCAACTCAACAACGAGTCAGACGAACTTTTTATTTTTCAGCGACAAGTCCGAATAAGTGAACAACGACGATGTATCTAATATCTATTATTGTTAACTAATTAGTTAGTTAACCAACTAATTTCTCTCACTTGTGAGAACAAGTACTACTGTAAAGTCGACCTACTTTCCCAAATATCGCCTCGAGTTGCTCGTCTTGAGTCCGAGGCCAATGGTCGGAAGCCACAATCGTGAGCGTCCACGGCAGTTTTGTTGTCCTCTCGCATCCTGCAACTGTGCGTGGCCGATTTCGTACGGTGGAGAGCTGTTGTGTCGATATACGCGAAAATGAACGCCGAAGAGGAAGTGTTGCGCATACAGAAGAAACTCAACAAAATGTCCAGCGGTGACGGGACGGTGAGTAAGTGAGTAAAATAAAGATAGCAGTATCTTTGCCCGGGCACGCTCAAAGCCGACGAGGAAGGCGCTATTCTTGTTTGACGAGCATTCGAGCGCTCGCCGCGTTACTGGCGAGTGCAGTCTCGTGAGGAAACTATGTGTAAACAATCTTGTCGAGATACTGCATCTCTCACTGAAAAGAAATTTATTCATTACTAAACACAATATCAACATCATCCCGAGTTTACACGAGTTTATTCACTAACAGTTGTGTACTTAGCACTTAAAATTTTAACGACACTCGTGCTGCATGATATGCTACATCTGTTGATACTTGATTCTTATCATACTTTCTACAGTGAGTTGATTTTTGCCAAGAGTATTTTTCTTTCTCTCTCATATATTTGTGACACATTCCTCTGGAGTATTTTGCTACTTAAAGAAACTTTTGTTGATTATCTGCGAAGAGTAAAAAGATGTGCGAAAGAATATATGCATGTATCAATAAATTTGAATATCGCTATCAAATATATTATTCGATATTAATTAGGATTATGAAATCTTACCAATACATAGAGCCATATTCTTTAGAAGACAGTCATCTATGCAATTTGATATCTGTTAATACAGGGTCAGGAACAGGCTTTGGAACTGCTCAAGATACTTCAAAAATTACCTGTGGATCTGGAACTTCTCACCAAAACACGTATTGGAATGACTGTGAATGCTTTGAGAAAATCCAGCAGAGATGAGGAAGTGATTTCTTTATCAAAAACACTCATTAAAAACTGGAAAAAATTCTTATCAGGCATGTATATAATGTTAGTATAAGATGCAAGGGATTTTTACCTAGAAATAATTACCAAGAACAATATGTATTTTCTTAGGGTCCAACAAGGAGAAAGATTCCACTTCGTCGAGTAGTTCAAAGAAGAGGGATGAGAAGTCAGACAAGAGTAAGGAGGACAGCGATCAGAAGAAGGATAAGGACATGACAGATAGCAGTGACACCAAAATGAAGGAGGAAAAGCCCAGCAAGGACGTTCAAAGAAAGCAATCGTCCTTCCCAGCTCCCACCACAACAGACGCGGTTAGATTAAAGTGCAGAGAACTATTAGCTGCGGCGTTGCGCGTGGATGGGAAGATCATCGACGGTTGTGCCACTCCCGAAGAGCTCGCGGAGGAATTGGAAGAGGCGATCTACGCGGAATTCAAAAATACTGACAACAGATACAAGAATAGGGTAATTAAAGCAGGATTGGGCGTTTGCACGTGAATTACTCTGTGCTTGCGTGTAGACAACGTAAACTGTGTATTAAATGTCGTCTATGTAGACAATGAGTAGTCTATGAATGTCGTTCGAAGAACGTATAGTTTGCTTAACAATTAATCAGGAAATCTGTTTTCATATAGGGCCTTTAGAGTCCTGATGTAAATTTCTGAGCAGTGTTTCCTAAATAAGTTACAATCTATAGATCTTTGGTTACATTCTCATCTGTACAGAGATTATTAAATCTATCAATTTGTCAAAGCTTCATGCAATGTTATTTTTTTTTTAAGTATTACATTGTAGTGCCCAAAACAGTTGTAACTGTCTTATAACTTAAAAATTTCTCTTGTTTGGATATTTTAATATAATCTGCAATATTCAACGTAACTTATATTGTCTACATGAAAAACGATTGTATGTATACATCGCGAAAATACGTAAACGACTCGCGTAGACAATCTTAAAATCTGCAGTAGAATCCTGAAGTAAAGTAGCGCGCGGTCTCGTTACTTATGCGAGACTAGTGCGAATATTTAAAGCTCTATTTGCATTCGTGTCGCATCACATGTATTCGCGATACATTTGCACGAATAATCACTATTGTGATTTCACAGGTACGCAGTAGAGTTGCCAATTTGCGCGACGTAAAGAATCCGAATTTGCGCACTAACTTTATCGTGGGAGCGATCACGCCGGCACGACTCGCGGTGATGACTGCGGAGGAGATGGCGAGCGACGAGATAAAGCAACTGCGTGAGCAATTCAAGAAGGAGGCTATCAACGATGCGCAGCTCGCCACCGTGCAGGGAACGAAGACCGACTTGCTCAAATGTGGCAAATGCAAGAAACGCAACTGCACGTACAATCAGGTGCAAACGCGCTCGGCCGACGAGCCGATGACCACGTTCGTGTTGTGCAACGAATGCGGCAATCGATGGAAATTCTGCTAAGAAATATCATAGAGAAGTTCTCACTCAATCTCGTCTTCTTCAATCGCTCCGCGGTGAACTTGACTCTTGCATCTCGGTCATCGTCTTTATGTAGCGTTCAAATATCTTCATAAGATAAGTCGACGAAGTAATCATAACAGTGTATGTAAATTTTGTGGACTCTTGATCGGTGTGATTACGTAAAAATTGCTCGTTTCGTGAACCGACGAAGTCTTCAGCTTGGAGGACTGCATGTGTCCCGCGAATTGGGAGAGGTACGATGTATGTAGAAACTATATATATATATATATATATATATATATATATATATATATATATATATATATATATATA